CGGGATTAGTGCGGGAGCCACTCTCCCGGCTCTCCCCCCATTAAGCATTTTGTCATCCATGCCCTCAAACCCCAACCCAGTGACGCGGACATATTCAATTTCGTATAGATAATCGACGAGAACGGCTCACGCCCCCGGGCCGGCCACCACTGCCACCCCGCGACCAACTTAGCTGCCCCGCCCTGCTCCTCCTCCGCCGCGCCGTGTCACATCGCGCGTATGAGCTCTGTTGCGCGCTTCTCCCTTGTTCGGCTGCAGTTGCCAAATGGCCACCACCACTCTTTGGTGAGGGACGGCGCTTTATCAGCGCTGCGCTGGGACGAACGCTCGAGATGGAGCCCCGCGCCGCGCATACTCACCCACTTGTCGGCCTCGACGCCAAAGAAGCCGTCCCCGGCGGCGGCAGGGAGGCGCAGGCCGCCCCGCTGCCAGCTGGCGAGGAGGTTGAGCAGCAGGTTCGACCACGCGTCGGTCGGGCCTGGCTGGCAGTAGTGCAGGCAGTCCGGCACCCGCTTGGCCGCTTCGGAGGTTGGCTCGGCCGCCGCCGCCGCCTGTGCCATCGCGGCGTCCGGCCGGCGGGCGGAGAGCTCGTCGACTGCGAGGTACGAGGCGCCGGCGGCGCGTGCGAGCGTGGACGCCACCCAGTTGAGGCGTGTGATCCGCCTCCAGCTGTTGCCGTAGCGCACCCGCCGCTCGCCCGCGTCAGCGGCGAGGTACTCAGCAAGGTCGATCGGTTGCGAGTACCGTGTGCAGTGCGGCACCGGCAGCGTGGCGCCGAGCACGACCAGCGAAGCGGGCGGTTTGCCTCGCGCGGCGCGCAGCCGCGCGATCGACTGGAGGGTGTGGTTGAGGCTCCGCGTGAAGAAGGCGTCGGCCGAGCGGCCAAGCTGCTCCTGCACCGCCGGGTGGTGGTGCCCTGTCGAGAGCACGACGGCGTCCGCAATGCTTGCGCGGCGCGGATAGAGGCTGGTGCCGATGAGCTCCCTGAAGCGCGGGTTGCACCGGCGCACCTGCCCGATCTCGTGCTGGTGCATCGCAAAGAGGAGTAGGTCGCGCCGCACGAAACTGATCCGCACCGTGTCGTTGCACGCGGATGCGGTTACGTCGTTGAGCACGCTCTTCTTGTCGCGGTTGCGGCCGAGCGTGGCGCCGAGCATCATGCTGATTGAGAGGAAGAGCTGGCCGGTGGTCGAGTCGCCGACGATGAGGAGGCTGCGGCCCACGGAGCGGAGCGTGGCGCACGCGCGCTCGCGCTCAAACTGCTCAAGCCTGCAGCCGGTTGGCCGCCACTCGCGCTCGGGGATGGAGCTGCGCCCGCCGTGGCGGCGCTCGTGCTGGTCGGCGCAATTGCCGTAGTGGTGTGTGGACCTGTTCGAGATGGAGACCCCCGCTCGCACCGCGAGAAGCGAGGAGGTCAGCCGGTAGAGCGGCGGCTTCTCAGTCTGCACCCAGGCGCCCTGCGCGTAGCGCGAGCACGTGTTGCAGGACGGGCCGGCGGCTGAGCCGTCAAAGCACCACGGGGAGGCGGCGGCGCCGGTGCGCCGCTGGGAGGTCTCGAGCATCACAGCAAGGTGGAGACGGCGGAGACGGCGGAGACAGCGGCGGGCAAGGAGAAAAGAAAAACGAAAATTTGGTTCAAGTCTGTCTTCTTTTTGTTGTAAACTTCTTTTTGCTTGGCCGTCATGACGGGGTAGGTAGGGTCGTTTTGAGCGCGGAGGCTCAGAGCCGGAGGGTGGCTGGCTGAAGGGTTGTAAAGGACCAGAAAGGCACGACGTCTAGGACATCGCGACAGACAAGACGCGCCGACTAAGGGACGTCCACGTGACACGATTGTGGCACAGAGGGTGTGATGCTGGAGTATCGACATTCATGGGGCACGGCGCAGGATGCGCCGTGCTAGTACACCGTGTGTCCGTGTGGCACGCGTGTCGTCGGCGCCTCCGCCGCCGGTGGCGAGGGAGAGGACGCGGCGGCCGCCGTCGCCGCGTGGGGCGGGGGAGAGATCGTGGCCGAGGGCGGCGCGGAGGGCGGCGCGAAGGGCGGCGCGGAGGGCGGCGCGAAGGGCGGCGCGGAGGGCGGGGAGGGGTGTGCCGGCTGGTCGGTGCGGCTGCTCGTGCAGCGCGCGACGGCGCCGCGGTGCGAGCGCTGCTGGAGGCACATCCCTCCGGAGGGCGCCCTCCACGAGAGCGAGAGCGCGGTGCTGGCCGACGGCTGGCTGTACCGCGGCCACCCCGACGCGGCGTGCCCGCGCTGGCTGGAGGCGGCCGGCGAGGGAACCTCGGGATGAGACAGCCACGCATCGGCTGGCCACGTGTGTCTCGCCACCGCTATTTCCCTCCCCACTAGGTGCGAGAGTTTTTTTTTGAATTTTTATCGGTGGCGTCATTAATTCTTTTTCTCGCGATGTCCACCGCCGCGCCGCCGCTCGCGCCGCCTCGCACCCGCCGCCACCGCCGCGCCCTCGCCAGACACGCCGCCGCCCACCCGCCTCCTCGACCTCCCCACGGACCTCCTCGTGCGCGTCGTCTCTCGCTGCGACCCCCTCGACATCGCTCGCGCCGCGGCCGTCTCGCTCCTCTTCCACGGCTCGCTAGCGGTGGAGGGCATCCGCTTGTGGGCGCAAGAGCGCGGCTTCGAGCTGCCGGCGCAGCCAGAGGGCGAGGTCTGCGCCGTGCGGTGGCTGTGCTATTCGGCACTGCTGTGCGAGTCCAACCCGCCGGCCAGGGTGGCGGCAGGCGAACGGCACAGCCTCTTCATCGACGGCGAGGGGCGGCTCTCGTCGTGCGGCTCTGCGCCGTCCTACTCGCCAGTCCTGCTCGGCCACGGCGAGGGCGTGACGCGGCTCAACACGCCGACTCGGCTGCCGTCGACGCTGGGTGAGCGCGCCATGAGCGTGGCAGCTGGCGCCGACCACAACCTCGCCCTCACCGCCGGCGGAGCCGTCTGGAGCTGGGGCGATGGAGGGGAGGGCAAGCTGGGCCACGGCGACGAGGAGGAGCAGTGGCAGCCGAAGAAGGTCGAGGCTTTTGATGGCCATCGTGTCTTCGCTGTGTCGGCTGGCGCCGCGCACAGCCTCGCCCTCACCGCAGACAGCGCTGTCTGGAGCTGGGGCTATGGATTCTTTGGCGAGCTGGGCCACGGTGACGAGCAGGACCAGCTGCTGCCCAAGAAGGTCGAGGCCTTTGCTGGGTGGCGCGTCGTCGCCGTCTCGGCAGGATCCCGCCACAGCCTCGCCCTCACCGCCGACGGCGCTGTCTGGAGCTGGGGCTGGGGAGCCTTTGGCCGGTTGGGCCACGGCGACCATCAGAGCCAGCTGCTTCCCAAGAAGATCGAGGCGCTCGCTGGCCGGCGCGCCGTCGCTGTGTTCGCTGCGAGCAGCCACAGCCTCGCCCTCACCGCCGACGGCGCCGTCTGGAGCTGGGGCCATGGAGCCTTTGGCCGGTTGGGCCACGGCGACGTGCAGGACCGGCTGCTGCCCGAGAAGATCGAGGCCTTGGCTGGCCAGCGCGTCGTCGCTGTGTCGGCTGGAGAGAGCCACGGCCTCGCCCTCACCTCCGACGGAGCCATCTGGAGCTGGGGCAATGGAGGCAATGGCCGGTTGGGCCACGGCGACGAGCAGAGCCAGCAGCAGCCGAAGAAGGTCGAGGCCTTTGCTGGCCAGCGCGTCATCGCCGTGTCGACTGGAGCATTCCACAGCCTCGCCATCACCGCCGACGGCGCCGTCTTTACCTGGGGCAGGGGTGAAGACGCCTGCCTAGGCCACGGAGAGGACCAGACGAACCAGCTGCTGCCAAAGAAGGTCGAGGCGTTGGCGCCGGGGCAGTGACACTGGGCGAAAGGCCCAACCGAGAACCGTGAGATCTGAGAATCACCTGGTGTGCCATAGTTTGCCCCGGTGCAGGGAGGCATCGCCATCGGGCTCGGACTTTTTGTTCTACTGTTCCGAGAATTCTACTGTCCCGCCTTGCCCCAAGTTGGAGGATATTTTTCTTGTTTCTTGGTCGTCTCAGTTAGGTATTCACGAATGCAAGCAGATAGATAGGGTTGAGAACAGCCAGGCTCGGGCTGGACACCAGCGCGGTCCGTCGCGTTTTTCTTGTAGGCGGAAGGCGCCGCGGCGCCGCCGAGGGCGGCGCGGCCGTGGCGCCAGGGGTCGCGCGGGGGGGGGCTCGAGAAGGTGCCCGACACTGCGGCGGGTTTGGCTGCTGAGCGGCCCAAGAACCCAGTGGAGGAGGTTTCCACCGGCGGCGCGGCGCCGGCGGAGGGGGAGGAGGGCGGCCCGCCCTCGCTCGCTGCTGATGGACCTGGACGTGCCCCATATTGGGGGCCCGCCGGCACTACCCCGCCCGAGACGCCGGTCTCGGACGCTGCCGGCGCGCCCCACCCTTTCATTTTAGATGAGGCCACGGGTTCTAAGGCGGGCGAGGCGGCTGCTGAGGCGTTGGCGGAGGCGGCGGTCGACGCCGTCTCTGAGCCCTGGTGTCGAGGTGTCGAGGCCCGGTGTCGAGGGTGTCGAGCTGCTGTCGAGGGGCAGAGGTGTCGAGGCCTGTCGAGGCCTGTCGAGGCCTGTCGAGGCCTGTCGAGGCTGAAACCATGCTTGTCCGTGTCATCTCGTCCGTGTCGAGGAGTGTCGAGGGGTGTCGAGGGTGTCGAGGGTGTCGAGCGTGTCGAGCATGTCGAGCGTGTTGAGCGTGTGTCGAGTGTTGTCAAGGTGTTTAGCGTCTAAGGTGTCAAGGTATCCAAGGTGGCAGGATGCAGTTGCAGCCCATAACAAAACTTGGGCAGCAGTTGCAAAGCTGTTTCATCCCTTAGTTGCAGCCTCTCAGTTGCACCCCTGTTGATGTAGCACAACCTGTGAGCACAACCAGTATACTCTGTGCGGGACATTTGAGGACATCAAGCTCACTAGTGCCAGGAGTCATTGCCACTGCACAAGGTGCTGTGCAGGCGCAGCACCTAAGGCTACAGCACACCCCATGCAGCAGCGTCGCCGCTGCAGCGTCGTCGCCCCTGCAGCGTCACCGGCGCACAAAGCGCAACTGACCACAGCGCTCATGGCACAGCCTGGTGCCATGAGTCAGTGGACATTGCCACTGCACAAGGTGCTGTCCAGCAGCTAAGGGCTACAGTACCCCATCGCAGCAGCGTCGCCGCCGCTGCCATCGTCGCCGTTGCAGCGTCGCCAGTGCACAAAGCGCATGTGGACCACAGGTCTGCACTCATGGCACAAGCTCACTGGTGTGAGGACTCATTGCCACTGTACAAGGTGCTGTGCAGCACCTGAGGGCTACCTGAGTACTGCCATGGTTGCTACATTGGTCATTGCAGGGGTGCAACTGAGCTGCAACTTGAGCTAGAACTTGAGAGGCTGCAACTGAGGGATGAAAGTACTGCCAGCCAAGTTTGATTGCTGCTGCAACCCTGATTTTCTAACTCTGTGACTCCAATGGGTCTACGTCTCTGCTGTGTTAGGATCATCAGAGGTGTCGAGCGGTGTCGAGCGGTGTCGAGCGGTGTCGAGCGGTGTCGAGCGGTGTCGAGGGGTGTCGAGGGGTGTCGAGGTGTCGAGTTTGGCACCTTGACACGGACGAGCATGGTTTCAGCCTAGATGGTGTCGAGGGGTGTCGAGGGGTGTCGAGTTGGTCGAGTTGGCATGGGGTGTCGAGGTGTCGAGTTGGTGTCGAGGTTTGGTGTCGAGGTGTCGAGGCCAGGGCTCAGCGCCGTCTACGGGGCGCTCGTGGCGGCGACGCTCGAGGAGTGGGCTGGAGCGAGCACGGACAACCCCGTCTCCGCGGAGGACGCTCGAGGCCCAGGCCTCGAGTGTCAGGATTGCTTTGAGAACTTTTACAAGGAGTACGACGTGGAGCCGTGGCTGTGGCGCCGGGCGTTGCGTGAGGGCTGGTCGGAGCTGGGGGGCTGGTCGAGAGAGGAGATGGAGGCGGCGGAGAAGGAGATCTGGCGCGGCGAGAGTTCTGAGATCTCTCAGCTAGGCGAGTGGGTCTGCGATGCTTGCCTTGAGGGCTATTTGGGGGGGGGCTTTGGCGACTACTCGGAGCTGCGCAGCGGCTACGTTGCGCCGTATCCGAGTAACCCCTGGTGCGACGGTGTATCAGTCGCCTTATGCCACCGTTGCATATCCGGATATGCAACGGTGGCATAAGGCGACTGATACACCGTCGCAAAACTGCATTGGGTCTCGAGTTCGAATCCCGCAGTTCGACTCGGCGCAAAAAACCCAGACGGGCGTTGTCACTGGTTCGAAACCCACCTTAGCGTTCACCTGCTATCCGCCGGTACCCAAACCGGATGCATCTCCGCACGACCCAGGAATGCAGTTTTGCGACGGTGTATCCGAACCCACCTTAGCGTTCACCTGCTATCCGCCGGTACCCAAACCGGATGCATCTCCGCACGACCCAGGAATGCAGTTTTGCGACGGTGTATCAGACCCCTTATGCCATCGTTGCAGTTCTGAGAAAGCACCTGGGCCTTAAGCGGATCTGAAAACCATCCTTAAACTGGTATTCTTAGACTATGCGACGCCCACCCTCTT